AGCGACTAATTTTTTTCTGGTGTTGTTTCCCCAGGGGTCTCAAAGGCAAATTTCCAAAGTGCGAGTAGAGTTTGGACAGCTGGAAACTCGAAACCCACAGCAGAGGGAAACTCGAGTTTTCGTGCAAAATGCTGGAAAACTTCTGTTTATAAACTGGCAGGCCCTTAGGAAAATCATGGATCGATTGGCGATTTTTGAGGAAAATTAATTGGGCTTTGAACCTAAGCTCTCTGTGCAGTTAAAAACTCACAACTCCCAAAGCTAAACACCCAGAGCTGTGAGTTTGGGTCTCAGTATAAAGAGGGCCTCCGGTTACACACATAGTGGCTCAAAAGCGTTTTGAGGCGGGCGGCGAACAGTTTTTTCAACGTTTTGTCCAAAGGGTCCTAAGAGGAAAATTTCAAAGTGCAAATAAAGTTTCCCAACCCAAAAACTCCAGATCTAGCGGAGGTAGAAGCTTCAATTTCACTGCACATATTGACCGAGCATGAGTGTATAAACCGCGAAAATTTCATTAAAAACTCTGGGCTGGTTGAATTTTTGGCCAACTTGGAAGCGCATTTATCGTAAAATCTGCGACGTAGCAGAGCAAGTCGAAAACTTCCAAACCTGCCTTATAAGAAACTTGGATTTTGCTCAAAGTATAAAGAGAGCCTTCACGTATAAACGAGGCAACTTGAAGCCCTTTTTGTCCAGCACCTGAGTTTTTACACTTTATTGTTCAAAGTTCGGTCAACGCAAACATTCAAAGTGCACTGCGGGCTCCAAAACTGCTAAACTCCGTCAGAAAAACTTCTCCAAGCCTCATTTTTTGTCTCCGCTTTCGCAAAGCTTCAGTTTATAAAGTGGCGGACTCCTTAATAAATTTTTGCAACTGTTAATTCGGCTTGAACTTGAACACTTGTGTAAAAGCAGAAAAAATTCCCATTTTCCAAAGTGGAGCCGCTAGAAGCTTCAAGTTTGTTGCAGTTATAAAAGAGGCCTCAGTTTATAAGTGCAGCTACTTAACGCTGTGCAGGCCAAAGTGTTGATTTTTCAAAAACGAATTTTCCGAAACGTTTCAAGCCTTCAAAGGGCAAAGCGCGACCTGAAGGCCTCAAACTTGTAAACCTGGAGAGCAGCAAGTTTGGAGTTTTGTCTGAGTGTTCAGGAAGCCTCAGTTTATAACGTGGAAGGCTCTCAGTTAGAAACCGATTTTGGTTGAATTCTAGGAGAAACTTCTAGAAAAAACTGTAGACGTTCGGTTAAGAAACTACGGATTCCCAAAGTTTCCCAATGAGGCGCTGGCGGTTTGCTCTGAGTATAAAGGAGGCCTCAAGTTATAACTGGAGTAGACTTGAAGCCTTGTGGCTTAAGAGGTTGATTTTTCAGACACGGTTTTTTCACAGTGTTTTAATGGCAAATCTTTCTAAAGCAGGGAGAGCTTCTAAGGTGCTCAACTCTGCGGCCTGTGAAGCAGAAAGCCTGGGTTTTTCTCTGCTGGTTCAGAAAACCTCCGTTTATAAACCTGGGGATTTTCAGTAAAATTGGGCGATGGGTTGAATTTTTGCAAATTTTTATTTGAGCTGATGTACAGGACCACTAAGACTTTCACAACTCCTAAAGTTTACCCAAGAAGAACTTCACGTTCACTGCGTTTATAAAGAAGGCTTTGATGTATAAGTGAGGCAACTTGAAGCTATTTTCATCCTGCAGATGGTTTTTGAAAATTAGGTTTTCAACTGCCTCAAAAGCAAAACCTTGAAAGCTGCAAAGGAAGGTTCGAAAGCGCTGCTCTCCTAAACTATGCCGGTTTAAAACTTCAAAGTTCCCCGCAGTGCTCAAACAACCTCAGTTTATAAACTTTATAACCTAAACGGCTATTGGTCTGAGGCGCGAGTTGGCTATAACTCAATACAATAAGGAGGGTGCATTAAGGGCAAAGTCTTTACTGTGCAAAAACAGATTAAAAAATTTATAACTTCCAAAGTTGAGCGGATAAATGCTTCCCATTTGGCCCAGGTATAAAACTGGCCTCCGTTTATAACTGCCCCAATTTAGAACTTTGTCGGTCTTGAAGTCGATTTTTCTAAACCGGTTTTTTGAAAGCGTCTTAAAGCACAATTTTCAAAGTGCCAAGCGATGTGTCAAAGGCCGTAACTCTGACACACTTGGAGCCAGAAAGTGGAGTTTTTGTAACACTGGTACGGAAGCCTCAGTTTATAAACTGGCAAATTTTCCAGAAAATTGCCCTTTCGGTTAAGTGTTTGAAAAATGTTTTGAAGTATTGATCAAAAAGATCTCTAGGCTGAAAACAGCTCCAATCTGAAAAATTCGTAACTCCCAAAGTTGCGCAGCTCACCACTGTGTATTTGGCCTAAGCATAAAACTAGCCTCAGTTTATAACTGTCGCAACTTAAAGTTTAGTAGGTCTAAAAACGGATTTTTAAACAGCGGTTTATTGAAAATGTCTGAAAGCACAATTTTCAAAGTGCCCAGTGAGGTGTCAAGGGCCGTAACTCTGAAACTCTCTGAGTCGGAAAGTTGAATTTTTGTACAAATGGTGCGGACACCTCAGTTTATAAACTGGGAAATTTTCAAGAAAATTGCTCTTTGGGTTGAGTGTTTGAAAAATAGTTTAATGTATTGGGCAAAAAACCCTCTAAACTGAAAAGAGTTCCGAACTGAAAAAGTCGTAACTCACAAAGTTGCAATTGGCCCAGGTATAACACTGGCCTCAGTTTATAACTGTCGCAACTTAAAGTTTTGTTGGTCTAAAAACGGATTTTTAAACAGCGGATTTTTGAAAATGTCCTAAAGCACAATTTTCAAAGTGCCCAGCGAGGTGTCAAGGGCCGTAACTCTGAAACTCTATGAGTCAGAAAGTTGAATTTTTGTCTGAGTGGTGCGGACACCTCAGTTTATAAACTGGAAAATTTTCAAGAAAATTGCTCTTTGGGTTGAGTGTTTGAAAAATAGTTTAATGTATTGGGCAAAAACCCCTCTAAACTGAAAAGAGTTCCAAACTGAAAAAGTCGTAACTCCCAAAGTAGCGCATTTCAGCACTATGTATTTCGCCCAAGTATAAAGCGGGCTTCAGTTTATAACTGTCGCAACTTAAAGTTTTGTAGGTCTAAAAACAGATTTTTAAACAGCGGATTTTTGAAAATGTCTTAAAGCACAATTTTCAAAGTGCGCAGCGAGGTGTCATGGACAGTAACTCTGAAACTCTCTGAGTCAGAAAGTTGAATTTTTGTGTGAGTGGTGTGGACACTTCATTTTATAAACTGCAAAATTTTCAAGAAAATTGCTCTTTGGGTTGAGTGTTTGAAAAAAAATTTAATGTATTGGGCCAAAAATCTTCTGGGCTGAAAACAGCTCCGAACTGAAAAAGTCGAAACTCCCAAAGTATCGCAGCTCAGCACTTTGCATTTGGCCCAAGTATAAAACTGGCCTCAGTTTATAACAGTGGTAACTTAAAGTTTTGTTGGTCTAAAAACGGATTTTTAAACAGCGGTTTATTGAAAATGTCTTAAAGCACAATTTTCAAAGTGCCCAGCGAGGTGTCAAGGGCCGTAACTCTGAAACTCTCCTAGTCATAAAGTTGAATTTTTGCGTAAATGGTGCGGACACCTCAGTTTATAAACTGGAAAATTTTCAAGAAAATTCCTTTTTGGGTTGAGTGTTTGAAAAATAGTTAAATGTATTGGGCAAAAAACCCTCTAAACTGAAAAGAGTTTCAAACTGAAAAAGTCGTAACTSCCAAAGTAGYGCAGYTCAGCACTWYGTRTTTKGCCCAAGTATAAMRCTSGCCTCAGTTTATAACTGTCGCAACTTAAAGTTTTGTCGGTCGGAGTTTTAAAGAGCGTAAACGGAKTTTTAAAGAGCGGGTTTTTGAAAACGTCTGAAAGCACAATTTTCAAGGCGCCTCGCGAGGTGTCAAAGGCCGTAACTCTAAAACACTCAGAGTCAKAAAGTTGAATTTTTGTGCCAGTGATCCTAAAAGCTCAGTTTATAAACCTGAAAGTTTTCAGGAAAATCGCTTATTGGGTTGGGGGGTTGCAGAAAAAGATTCAACTGTTGAATGCATAGGCCCCAAAGCTTCTTAAAAAACTCTTCAGGCTTAAAAAATCGCAATTCGCACATTTGAGCGAGTGGAAGCTTGAACTTCCAGCCAAGGACAAGGGAGGCTTTGCTTAACCAGGTTGCCAGCTCTAGAGGATTTTCCTGGCGCAGCAGATTTTTTACGCAAAAAAAATGTTGGGTCTTTGGCGCAAATTGTGCAAAAAAAATTGTTGGGGTTTGCCCAGATAGAAAAATTCGTCATTGGCAAACCAGAGCGCGAAGAGCGCTGGGGTTTTTACTAAATCATACCTAAAGCTTCCAGGTATGACCAGAAGGAGTTGCAGCAAAATTCCCCGATTGGCTGATTTTTGCGGACGAAAATTAGCTAAGGGGGATCTGAAACGCAAAGAGCCCAGCGTGCTGGACAGTTTCCGAACACCCTCACCCCCCCCCCTAAAGGGCTGGACAAAAAACCTGTCCCAGGCAGGCGACAACGTCCCTAATAAATCCTCATTAAACCCGTTTCCTCTGGCAATTCATCCAAACTCTGCCATTTCAGCGCCTTAAATTGCTCGAAGTTATTCAGCAAATCGGAGCATTCGGACGTCTCATTTGACCCAACTCGGGCCCCGCGTCGCCACTAATTAACATTTTAATGAAACTGAGCGTCTCCGGCGGGAAAAAATCAAGAAACTGTCCAGCGCCGGATGGAAAATCGGCCGATTCCAGCGTTTATTCGCTGGCAATGCCCGAGTTAAAAACTCGTTTTAGCGCGACAGTTTTGTTCGCTTTCGCAGGCCGGCGGCGACATAAATCGCGTCGCTATCTAGTCGGGCCTTAATCCCTTGGGGTCGCGCCTCATAACCAAAAAAAAAAACGCCACAAAGAAAACAACAGCAGCAGGCAAATTCCAATTAAGATTAGAGCCGCTCACAATGTTTTGCTCTTGTTTGCAGGCGAGGTGGAGCGATTGTTGCGCGAATACACCCAGAATCAGGAAATGGTGCGCAACATCGGCTCCCACTACTACCAGATCATCTATCCAGTTCAGTTGCGCCAGCACAAGAAAATGGGCATCAGCACCAGGGAGATCGGGTCTTCCAAGGTACGCAAAGCGCGTAGTATGGTAGGTTCTGCACATTTCATCTCATTTCACTCGATGTTTGCCCCCCTGTGCCTCACCCTGTATAATATCAGCCACGGTTGCCACCCCTGTTTGTTGGGCAGGGCCCACCCTGCCCAACCCTGCAAAAATTTTCGAAATCGCCCGGTAAATAAGCGAGATACACTTTTTTTGAGTGCGCAAGTACATAAGCAGCAGCCACTGTTTTGGGGCGGGCCTAAAAAATGCATAACTTCCTTAATAGTGGGCCGATTTCGAAAAACCCAAAACCGTTCGATAGCTGAAAAGCCACTGCAGCTATTGCAGCAAGTTGGGCAAATGGTCGGGCCACCCTCCCCCCGCAGGCCCTGGAAATCTGCATAATGGCAACAGCGCAAATTAGTGAGTGAAGTGGACAAGTTTGTTGGGCATTCGATTGCTGCTAACAAGCGTTTGGCAGGCTGGCAAATAACTAACTCGATCATTAACGAACTGAACTGCGGGAGTTTTTGCCGATATTTTCCCTGGGCGAAAGTTTGGAGCGCAGTTTCGCGTTAGTTGTGCGAAGTTGAACTGGATGGTGCCTCGATGTTGCAAAGTTTACCTGCACTGTGCACGAATAGATCGGTGAATCGGGCCGTAAATATTTTCCAGCTAATAAAGCGTCTTTTTGGCTTTAGATCGAGTGTCGGTTCCATAGCGGGGGCAGGCTTGAGGGCAACGTTGCCAGGTTTTCACAGATTTTGTCCGCTCAAGCGAAAGCCGGCTCTATTGGCAACAAAGGAGTTTTTGAATTTTTCAAATCGCCCCGAAACTGGCCGAGATACGCCCATTTTTTAGCCTCAAAAACGCCAATTGTTCCCACCAAATTAGTTTGAAGACGGGGCTGTCGGGTGCTCAGAGCGTTTTCCCGAAATGTTTTCAGGGCAAAGAAGCTTGGTTGATTGCAAGCACATGGGTTTTGGAATTTTTCAAATCGCGCCAAAAAGACACGCGATTTTTTAGCGGAATTTTCCAGCCCCAAAAATGTCAACTGTTTCCACCAATTCCACTATTTTTAGTGCAAAATTTCTGAAGTCAAGTCTTGATCAACTTGAGATTTTTCAGCAGGTTCGACAATTGTTGTCACGAAATCATCATTAAATGCTCTTCAGATTGTTGAAGACTAAGCGGTTGGTTGGTGAGAGTCAACTGTTCCCACTAATTAATTGTTTTGGGTGAAAACAGGCAAAAATATTAATTTACTGACTTTTTTGTGTCAGGTAGATGAGAGTCTGATGCTAACAGTATTATTTACATTAAAACTTCAGCCAACGATTTGACAATTGTTCCCACTAAATATTCATTAAATGCACTTTGCGTCGAGGAACTGGCAGAATTGGGCACCAAAATCGATCCATGTTGCCAATATTGCAAACAATTGCAAGAAAACTGGGAATAGTTGGGAGTGGATGACGAATGTTCCTACTAATTAACTATTTTAGCTGTAAATCTAAAGAAACTGTTGATTTACTGAGTTTTGTGTTTTTATGAAACTGATAAATGGAGTAAAACTGTCCCGTTTACTTGTAAATTTTGTTAAAAAATTGACAATTGTTCCCACTAAATTGCCATTAAATGCCGTCAACGGCGCAAAATTTCATCAATTTCCATGAATTTGCGTTGAATTAACTGAATTTAAATGTTAGAAAGCAATGAAACTTTAAGCATCGGACGCGCAATTGTTCCCACCAATTAACTTTTTCCACATGTTTGCGCCTTAAACTCGTGAAAAACAGTTTAGAATTCTTGTTTTCGCATTCACTTTTCAAACAGCTGTTTGAATGAACCAGATTTCGAGCCTTTGCAGGTTTGAAGCAACAATTACTCCCACTTAATTTACATTTTTGCCGAGGATTTAAAAAACTTGTCACCTTGTTGTTGGTTTTGCATGCGGATTTTACTGCGAGTTGTACAATTGTTCCTACCAAATTGCATCTAAAACCGTCAAATTGCTAAAAGTTGTGAGATTTACGTTTTCTTCTTGATATTTTGGGATTTAAAAGCGACGTCACTTCAAATATTTCTTTGGTGAACACAACAATTGTTCCAACTAATCGCGTTTTTCTGCTGATTTCGGAACAAAATCCAGCGAAATAGTCATCGATTCTTAGTTCAGCTGCACTTTTAAAACGGGTATGAATAATGGGCAAGATTTCCAGCATCTGAAGTCTTAAAGGCGCGATTGTTCCTACTAAATTCAATTTAATAAAATGCTTAAAAACACTAATATTTTTTGGCAAAAGTGACAATTGTTCCCACTAATCAAAATTTTGGATACAAAACTGCACAAAAAATTATTCTACAAACTTTTTCGCTTTAAATAACTAGAGACTCAAAGGAAAAAGTCACTTTGGCATGCAAATTCAGCAGCAGATTTCACAATTGTTCCCACCAACTTGCAAATAAATGCTTTTAGGGCCGTTAAAGTGGAAAATTGCTTGCAATTAGTTCGAATATTTTAGACCAAAATTCTCAAAAACACTACTAATATTTTTTGGCAAAAATTACAATTGTTCCCACTAATCAAAATTTTGGATAGAAAACTGCACAAAAAATTATTCTAATGACTTTTTCCTTTAAAACAACTAGAGAATCGAAGGAAAAAGGAACTTTTGCATGCAAATTCAGCAGCAGATTCACAATTGTTCCCACCAACTTGCAACTAAATGCTTTTAGGGCTTTTAAACTGGAAAATTGCTTGCAATTAGTTTGATTGTTTTGGACTAAAATGCTCAAAAACGCTAATATTTTTTGGCAAAAATGACAATTGTTCCCACTAATCAACATTCGAGATACAAAACTGCACAAAAAATGATTCTAATAGCTTTTTCGCTTTAAACAACTAGAGACTCGAAGGAAAAAGTCACTTTGGCATGCAAATTCAGCAGCAGATTTCACAATTGTTCCCACCAACTTGCAACTAAATGCTTTTAGGGGCCTTAAAGTGAAAAATCGCGGGCATTTGGCTCGAACATTTTGGATTAAAATGCTCAAAAACACTAATATTTTTTGGCAAAAAAACAATTGTTCCCACCAATCAACTTTTTATGCAAAAATTCGTGAAAACAAGTCAATCACTTTTTCGCTTTACTTTGCAGCCTGCTGCGGTAAATGTACTGTTTATAACAGCCTAAAAGCGACAAATACTCCCACTAAAGTCACACTTTCGGCCGCAAATCTCGAAAATACATCAATCTAGCGGTTTTTTTGTTAAAAGTCAATGCAAAGTTGGTTGACGCGATTTTTTTTTCACGCCGAATCAAGTGAAAATGGTTCAATTGTTCCTACTAAATTTCCACTAAAATGATTTAACACTGGAAAAATCGCACCGAGGTGAACCAGAAGTGATTTCTGAGGCTCAATTAATTGAACGAAAAAGGCAATTGTTCCCACCAACTAACCTTTCAACCAGTTGAGCGCCAACGTTGCCAGACCGGCTTCACTTTCCCGGTAGGTCCTAAACCGCGTCCTAAACCAGGCAAAATGGGCGTTTTCGAGCGGGAAAAAAATTCCAAAGCGTGGCTGCATGCGTTCGGTGCGTGAAAAATCGCAATCAAGCAACTAATTAGCCAGATTCAGGCCGGAATCGTTAATCAGCATTAATTAGGCGCACACTTTGTGCCGCCCCTGGGCCAATTACCGAAACGAAAACGTTCCAACTTTCCTCCAAAAGGAATAAATTTAAATAATCTGTTTTTAATATGGCGAATGGACGCTTGACGGCGTGAAATTGGGCGCGGCCCTTAAGAATGCTAAATTTTTAATCAAAAATTTAATCTTAGAAGGCGAACGAGCCCATTGTTCCTTTGATTATTATGCAGTTCCAACGGTAATTTCGCACTCGACGAACTGGCAACGTTTACAATACATCGGCCATTGTTCCAGGACGAAACGAACCACTGGCGGAAATACGGGAACAAAAAGAATTATTAAAATGATGAAAGCAAGCCCTTATTTCACCCCCCACCCTACGCCTGCCCGCTTCACTCCGACACTGCGTTTCAGCCACAAGAAGAATTATGTACTCCGGCCTGTTCAAACGACTTTTTAAGTGTTTGGCTCGCTAATTACCGCGGTTTTATGCTATTCATTGGCTTTGGTGAAGACCGGGCCCGATTTCCTGCGAAAAACCATCTGGCAACCCCGCCTGAGTCATTGGGGCGGTGTTGCTGTGCAACTTTTCCTGTGGGGAACCGCTGAAGAATTGCTCTTCTGCTGACAGGAGGGATGATAATTTATTTCTCCCAAACGAAACCAGATGGCGCTTTAGGGGTTTCAGCTCTGGATAGAGCATGGCTTGGGCTTGCTTGGGGATTTTTTGCAACGTTGGGGGTAAATTGGCTGATTTTTTACGTCACTTTGAACTCGAGCCCCCATTTCGAAACGCCCATAAGCTGGAGAGCCGGATTTGGCAATGATTTGCGTCGAGACCAAAGGCGATAGAGACCTGGGGATTTTTGCTCTGGATAGAGTCGGGTCTGTTGCATATTTGCAGAATTCTACAGATTTTGGTCGATACCCGTTGATTTTGTAGCGCAGCTTAAGCAGGTGCTGTCCAACTGAAGTCCCTAAATTTGTTTGGTTAAGGACACGTTTGGCATTTATTTTCTCTGCAACCAACAAAGATACGCCGATCTGGATGCCAGATTGGGATAGAGCAGATCCCAGTGCTAAACAGGAGAATTTTTGCAAAATCCCACTTAATTTTTGGGACTTTTTATGTTAAATTGAATCTGGGATCCCAGTGAGAAAGTCTGCAATGTGTGCAAGATGCTTCAAGAATTAATTTCTCTGGAAGCAAACTGGACCGGGCAAAAATACTTCTGGTCCAGGATAGAAAACAGTCGGGACTGCATATGTGAATTTTTTGGAATGGAAATCGAAAAATTTTGAAATTTTCGTTTTTGGAGCTCCGGCGTCTGTGTGCTAGCAGAAGCTCGTCAATTAATTTCTCAGAAACC